TGGGCGGGCGCCACCTGCCTGCGCAGCCTCCCTCCCGCCTTAGGAATTCCCTCTGCCGGGGCGGGGGAGGCAGCCCTCTTGCGCCCGCCTGCGTTGACCCTCCCCTCTCCCCCCCCCCCTCATCCTCTTCCAGCCGACTGCCTGGTGCAGGAGCTGATCGAGTTCCTTGGGATCAAGCGGCGGGTGACGCGGCCGGTGCTGCACTTGCTGCTGGTGCCGCAGCTGACGGAGCTGCACCTGCGCAGATGTTCGCAGCTGGTCACCAAGGACGTGGCTCAGATGATCTCCAGCCGCTGCAAGGTGGACGGTGGGGGGGGCCTGCTGGGGGTGAAGTGGGGGCTATGCCTGGAGTGGGGGAGGGCAAGTATCCCGGTTGTTTCCTCTGGTTGTCTTCTCTGGCCCCGCATCGCTAGCTCTGCAGCCATGGGGGAGGGAGGGAGGGGCTGTTGGATAAGCACCTGTCTTTGCTGGGTCCTGCCTCCTTTCTAGTTCTGCTACCTCTTGGACCAGATGAGTAAATCGGGTAAAAAATGGCAGAAATTATATATTTAAACATTCAGCTTGCTTCTAGCTGTAGTGGGAACTCTGGATGCCTAATAAGCCAATCAGAGCAAAGAAAATTCAGGATAAAAGGATTTATTGATGTATGTGCTTTATATCCCATCACCCACCCTGGCCACTAGGCACCGTAGGGGGATTAAAATGCAAAATACCAACATACAAGCTCCCGGCATATAAGATTGTAACCTGATCGGAGAGGGACCGGAGAAGAGGGGAACTCCGAGCCCTCAAGATCTAAGCTGGATGAGGCCAGGAGCTCTAACATCCGCCCTGCCTCTGTCGCTCAAGGTTATTTCCCGGAAGAAGCAGTTTTTTCTGATGTGGTTGCGATCTGATTCCCCCCTTTGTGGCCAGATAGGATCCCAGGGCTGCTGCACCATCGGAAGTTCCCTCCTGCCTTAGCTTAGTTCAGCCTGCGGCACAAGCAGACAAGGTCTCAAGGCAAGGATTCATTGAAGGCAAAACACCCAATAGGCCTTTAAGACAGAGGTGGGGCATTTATGGCTCCTTTAAGACATGGGAGTTCTGGGATCTTTAATTTTAAAACTGTTCTAAATTTAAAATCTGTGAACAGCGGCATCAAAATTAAAATCGGGAAACAGGTGCAACATGAAGAATGAAATGTCCAAGGAGAATTAAAACGTCTGCCTGAAGTTGGACCAAAGAGGCCGGGCAGGGCTGCCCAGGTGTGTGTGCTGAGAGAGTCACGTTTCCTCCCTTCTCTTTTTCCTCCCTGGGACAGAACCTGTCCGTGCTGAACCTCGACAGCTGCAGCCGGATCCCCAGCGACGCCCTGGTCAGCCTGATAGAAAGTTTGCCTTCTCTCAAGAAGCTGGACCTGTCGGACACCCAGTGCAACACCCAGGTCTTGTCGGCCGTGGGCTCCACCTGCCGGCATCTCTCTGAGCTGAACATCACCGACTGCAAGCGGCTGTCCGCCGAATCCCTTTTCCACCTGGCCTACGACGTCACGGCCGGCTCCTTCTCTTGCCAGGGCCTGCAGTTGCTTTTGGTCGACGGCTTGGAGCCCAGTGGTAGAAGCCGGGATCTGATCTGGGCCTTGGCCTTTGTCCTGCTGGCCCTTCCCAGCCTCCTTTTCGTAGAGAACGAGTTTGTTTCCGACGCTCTGCAGGAGATCCTCGACCAGCAGTTTGCAGCTGCCCAGGTGGCCCCCCGTTTCCCCTCCCTGGAGGAGCTGGTCCAGCGCAGGATGGCCATGCGCACAGACCAGACCGGCTCCAGGCTCACGCTGCCCCTCAAGGAGCTCCTGGAGGTGGAGGAGACTTTCCTGCCCACGGTTTGTGCCGTGTGCCCACACTTGACCAAAGCCGTCGTCCTCCTGGACGACGGTTCCGCCTTGAGCCCCGCCTTCTACACCTGGCGCACCCTCACCAACCTGACCTTGGACTGCAGCCGGCCCCGGAACCTGGCTGAGCTGCTCCCCGTGGCAGCCGTCCTGGGCGCCCAGATGCAGTTCCTCTCCGTCGACGGCTTCTATGTCAGGGACGAGTTGTCTTTCCACACGCTGCTCAACCGCTGCCCAAATCTCCAGAAATTCACCGCCAGCATCTTCCTGTCCTTGAGGGGCCAGGGAAGGCCCCCCCCGGAGCAGGAGGCCGTCTTGACCCCCCCCAGGTTCTCCCACCTCACCGAGTTCACCTTGAGCCTTTGCCATTTGCACACTTCTGCACCTTCCCAGCCGATCCCGAGGTTGAGGGCAAACCTCCTGTCCGTCCTCCAGAACTCCCCCTGCCTGGAGACCTTGGAGCTCTTCTACCTGCCTTTCGGCCTGGACGAGGTCTTTGAGAAAGTGCTGGAGCCCCGGGGGGCTGCCCTGGTGCGCCTCTGCGATCTTTTCCTGCTCCAGTGCCAGGTCTCCATCAGCACCATCCACCTGCTGCTGGCTGCAGACAACCAGCTGAATTCCCTCCACTTGGACAAATGCCCAGACATCTACCGGGGTGACTACGAGGAGCTTCTCCGGAAGGTCAGCCGGGAAGGCCTTGACCTGCACATCGAGTGGCAGTGAAGGGAGTCACCTTGGGGAGCCGGCTTGGTTTATGCTGAGGCCAAAGCAGAGGAGCCGCTCTCAAGAATAAAGTTTAATAAAGTTTGTATTCTCTCCCACCGTCTGCCTGGCTTCTCTTGACACCCGGGTGCAGAAGGGGGCGGCCCCTGTGGGTGCAACTCAGGAGGTGGTCCAGGGCAAGGCCGTCTAGCCCTGTGTTCTCACCTGGGTAGGGAGGGGGGTGCCCCGAAAGGCTCTCCAGAACCGGTGCTCAGGAGCCTCCCTCTCCCTGCAGTGGTGGGGGACCAGTGCCCCCATGTTGGCAGAGCTCTCTGCAGGGCGCTGGTTTCTTTCACTGGGAGCAGACGGCAAACGGAGCGTTCCCAGTTGCCTCGGATAGGAGCGCAGGGAGACGGGCCGAGGGATCCAGAAAAGCCCGGGGGTGGCGGAGGCGTTCCTCCCAAGGGTGGCTTAAACTAGAAAGGGGGAACCCTAGCCTTGACATCTGATCAATTGGTGGAGTTATAGTTCCGAAGCTATTAAGCAAAGGACTGGAGAGAAATCAGGTTATGAGGTCTCTCTGTCGTCCTTTCCGGGCTGTTGGCTGTTGGCAGAGAACTCGCTGGGCGTAGGCCAGCTGGCTTTCTTTCGTTCCGACACTAATGACCTATTTTGCACCCCTGGAGCAGCTCTTGTTCTCGCTCCTGGAATTTAACTGCAGCTGCTGGCTAATTTAGAATTTGCCTCCTGGACCCCCCAAAAAGTTGAAGTAACACCGGGATCGTGAGAAAAATATCTCAGATATAATTTCTTCATACCAAAAAATGATCAAGGAGGCTACGGCAACCGAAAGCAGCTATTTTATTACACCTGCGCAGGTAGATTCCCAAGCAAATGAGCATCCCTACAAGGTGCACAGGCGCACCTTAAATACACAAAATGACGTACCATGTGCGTCATAACGTGGGTACAGAAAATACAATTGCGTGCACAAGATACAAGCGCAAAGTGCATGGAAATTCCCCAAATGTTCCGAAAGCAGACGTGCCCAGAAGCCCCACAGGACCTTGCTTTCCCAGCCCTAAGCAACAAGGTCATTACCGGCTTCCTGCAAAACTGTGACTCCCTGTTACAAAAGGAGTTTCCATTTCTGAGCAGGTCAGGCTGACCCTAGGATTTCATCCCAGGCTGTGATTTTCCAGACAAGCTTGCTGGCTAGTCAGATATTCAAGATTGAGTCTATCAGGTTCCTCAAATAACCTCATCTAATTTACCCAAATAATTCAAGGTTCTGGCCTTATTCTCTCAATTCACCCTCTCTCCAATAAGGACAGTTATTTGGGTAACTTCAGGTGAATTAATTCTCAATCTCTTGCATCATAAGCAGAGCTTTCAGTGACATGGATTCAATGTATAGTTATATTGTGCAAAGCATCCGGCTTACCTGAATTTAGCTGAAATGACCTCCAACCTTTACACACAAAGTTTCTCAAAGTCCTAATCAATTGTCACTCCGGTCTGGTCACACACCCATATCATCAGCTAAAGCAGCTATCGCTGATGAAGGTTCATTGATGCACTCTCATCCAAGGCATGAGCGTGATGGCCAAGCATAAGCATGCATCTCCCCGCCCTCCTACCACACTGGTAATATTCACTGGTGGTATAGGCCATTTTACAGGATGTGCACCTGGCTATATAACAACATGTGGCTCTTGTCCCCCTATAGATGATTCTGCATGTTCATGTTCCCTTCCACCATCAGGTGCATGAACCAGATGGCCATGTGCATGTGTTCCATCCACAGGTTGTGTACCTGTTGTGATATCTGTATCGTGCTTAGGAGGAGCATGAAGGCGCTGTAGGTAGGATCCAAACAGAGGAGGGAGCTATAGGTGGTGTCGACATTAGAGAACAACAAGAACTGAGATAAAGTAGAGCTATAAATCCTAATTATAAAATATAGATATGGAAGAGAAGAAATGATCTCAATTAACATAAATGGACAATTCAGCAATTAAAAGAATATTTCATAAATTAGAAAAATTAAAATTGGATATAATCTGCTTACAAGAAGTACATATTCAAAAACAGCATGAACATTTATTGGTGCAACCAAAATTGGGGAAAATATTCACAGCATTGGCAAGCTGTAAGAAAAGATACAATTCCAGCAAAACAAATTTATGCAGACGATGAGGGAAGAATCTTGATGGTGGAAATTATGGACAATTCGAAGGAAATACTTTTGATTGCAAAATATGCCCCTAACAATAAACAAGATGAATTTTATAGAAAAGTACATAGGAAAATAATTGAATTGGACTATGCTGATATTTGCATGATGGGAGATTTTAATGGAATTGTAGATCAAAATTTGGACTATACAACAGAAAAAGTTACAAAGATAAATAGAAAACCACTACCTAAAGCCTCTTTTAAAATGACAGATGAAATGAACCTTAAAAGATGTTTGGAGAGAAAGAAATCCTACAAAAAAAACAATACACTTTCTATTCAAATACACACTTATCATACTCCAGAATTGACATGATGTGGGCTACAATGGAACTGAGTTGTAATATGCAGGAACTTGAAATTGAAACAAGTACTTAGGCAGATCACAATCCAATCATAATTAAATGGAAAGGACAAAGAAAGAGATGCAGATGGACATTAAATAATACAATATTAAAAGAGAAGGACTTTGTTCAGAAAATGGAAAAAGAACTGGCTTTTTTCTTTAAAGAAAATAGAAAGGAAGATACGTCGATGCAGAACCTCTGGGATACAATGAAGGCTTATACTAGAGGTTTGATAATAGACGATACAAGAAAGAGAAACATAAAGAAAAGACAATGAGAATAATTACAGGGCCCTTGAAAAAGAGTTACAGAAGTCTCCACAAAAAAAGGATATTAAAAGAAAAATCGATATAAATAAGCACAAAATGGATCTATTGGAAAAGGATGAATTAGCACAAAAAATAGAGGTGCTAAACAGAATTATTTTGAAAATGCCAATAAACCAGGCAGATGGTTGGCATACAAATGGAAAAAAGTGAGAGAATCAAAGAAAATATTGCGACTAAAAGATAATCAAGGGCAAATTTGTTATGGAATTGCTGGGAAGAAGAAAATTATAGAAGATGACTATGGTCAGCTGTATGAACAAGAGAAGCTAGAAGAGGGAGGAGCTAAACAATACCTACAAGAAACCAACTTTCCTCAGATATCTAAAAAAATGGAGACAAGATTAGAAAGTAGAATAACTATGATGGAATTAACTGAAGCACTCAAAAAACAAAATAATGGTAAATTTCCAGGCCCGGATGGGCTGCCTGCAGAATTCTATAAGACTTTTCAATATTTATTGTCCCTTCCTCTACTGGAAGTTATGAACGAGGTGATGTCAGAGTGTAGGATACCCAAATCATGGTCAGAGGCATATATTACTCTCCTACCCAAAGAGGAGGCTGATCTATCATAAATTAAGAACTATAGACCCATCTCCTTGTTGAATTCAGATTATAAGTCATTTGCTTCAATACTAGCGGAAAGACTTAAAAATATTTAAATGGTTTTATTCATCCTAACCAAAATGGGTTTCTACCAAAAAGATAAAGTTAATATGAGAATAATTCTGAATACATTGGAGCCTTACGAGGCTCACCCTGAAAAACAAATGGCTTTGATCTTAGATGCCCAGAAAGCATTTGATAACCTGAATTGGCGATTTATGTTTTTACAATTGGAACTTTTTTTCACTTTAATTTTCTTTGTTTTCTATGGATGGACTTTTTATAAGCCCCACAGCAGAACTAGGGCAGCAGGGGAAGCTCGACAGGTTGCAAAGGCATCGCTGGGGAGAAGAGCCAAGAGGAGCCTGGACTCCAGACAAAAACCATCAGGAAATGCAGAAACTCGGTCCGTCAGGCAAACAGCCTGGGAAAAGGAGATTCAGAGCAGACCCCGGCCCCACCAACTCCAACAGAGGGCTGGAGGAGCCCCAGCAGTCCTCAAGGGCCTCCATTCACAGCAGGAGAAAAAATCCAAGGTGAATTTAGCTTTTCTGGCCGTGGCTCACAGTTAAAGGGCTTGGCAGCTTTGCAGGGAAGAGTTCTTGGAAGGGGAGTCAGAAGATCCATGTTGCTGAAGGGCAGCTTTTCGACTCTCTTGGCCAGAAATGAGGGAGAAGCCCCCTAACGTTCCCTTTGCACAGGGAACGCCTGCTGGCTTCCGTCTGTCTTGAGGCCCGTGGCCTTCTCCAGCGCATCCCACAGTCTCTGGCCAAGGCCTGGCTCGTGCGCGAGGGTTTGAGGCAGCACCAGTCTGCAGTTGCTGTCAAAATACTTGCCTGAAATCCCCTCCACTTCTGGGGCGACTGCGCAGTAGAGAGTGCTGGTGGCTCCCCTTTGGGGGTTCTGGGGAGAGAGCAGGGAAAGCCCCTCAGAGGAAGCTTCGGAGGGGGAGGCGAGAGAGAGGCCCAGCCGCCAAAAGCCTCCCGAGAGCGAGAGTCTGGTCCTCCGAGGCCCCATTGAGGAGGGCCTCTGGACAGCTCTGCTCAATGGGAGCTCTGGGCTCTGCTGCAAGGAGCTGGGATTCCCCCCCCCCCCGCCCCGAAATTCCCCCTACCTCTCGCAGTCCCTCCTCCCGCCCCCCCCCTCGCCCATTTTCCTCAGCAAGCTCTGCTGCTGGAGCTGATGCTTCAGAGCCTCACTCACCATCATGAAGGGGCTGCAGAGCCAGTAGAGCAGGCGGCTGGCCCGGCCATAATGGCGCAGGATCTCCGTCCGGACGATTCCTGGGCTCAGCACATTGGCCGACACACCTGCAGAGGAGACGCCCTGCTGAATGAATCCCGGCAAGAGGAGGCTGGTCTGGGAGCCGCCAGGATGGGAGAGCGGCCCCCTTCCATCCAGCCCAGAAGAGGGGAAAGAGCCAGCAGGCAGGGCCTCCGTGGGAGTATCCGGGGCACCTGATACTAAACTGGCCCCAGCCCTTCCCTGGGAGCCCCCGGCATGCAGGCTCTGCGAAGGGCTCCTCACCGCCGACAGAGACCACCGGAGCACATCAGCAAGGGAGCCTCAGCAACTCCCCTGCGTGTCTGTGTGGCAGGGACTGTGAATCATGAGGGCACCACCTGCCTCATCCTACGGAAGCCCATGCTGGGCAGAAGCATAAAAGTGAGCTGAAGTTTGTGCGAATGGCCTTCCAAGATCAGAAGGTCAGAAATGGCCGGAGGAATGAACGGGGCCGGACAATCGAGAATGCGGAGAGAATGGCCAATCTAAGAAGGAAGAGCAGATGACGAGAGAGGAGGAGACGCTCTGGGACAGGCAGGCTGGGTGGGTGGGCAGGAGGGGGCCTGCAGAAGAGCCAGGGAAACCTACGGTCTGGGGAAGCAGAGGAGGGAACAGGCTGGATCTAAATGGCCCACAGCTGCAATTTCTGCTCCAACGTTCCTCTCTTTGCATCTTCTCCTTCCATTTCTGTGACTTTGCGTAGCAACGGGGACCCCGCAGGCGGCCGTGTGCTTACCGGTGCCCTGCAGCCTCCGAGCCAGCTCCGTGGTGAAGAGGACGTTCATGAGCTTGGTGCAGTCGTAGGCCTGGCTGGCATTTTTGGGCAGCTCCTCCCCCGTCAGCCACTTCAGGTCCACCTTCCTGACACAGAAGTGCCGGAAGGAAGAGACGTTGACAATGCGAGCAGGAGCCGAGGCCACCATGGTACCTGCACGGAGGAGGGGGAGGAAGGGCAGTGAGGGGAGCCAAAGCCCCCTGGAAGAGCTCCCACTCCCGGCCTCCCCTCCCCACCAGCATCTCTCTCTCTCCTGTCTACTTCTTGACACCAAAGGCCGGCTTCAGTCTCTCCTCATCCCTGGTTCCCTCCACTTGGTACCCATGGTTTAGATAGTTGCCGGTTGCGACTATACTGCGGCCCTAAATAATGGCTAACAGTCAGGTCTCCTTTGAGATCCCACCTTTTATTTAGTTATTTCTTTGCTTGTCTATTTATAACATTTCTATCCTGTAGCTGCTGATCTTCAAAACAAAACCACCTGTGCAACTTACAGTACGGAAGAGTAAAAGCAACACTAAGGCCAGTCACGGAAGAAACCGGTGCCCCGGCCTCTCTTCTCTAGGGTCCCCCCAACCCCCTGTCTCAGGGCCTGAGGGGAGAGCCGGTCTGAGGTGCCCCTGGAGGGGCAGAAGGTTGGGATGCAAAAGGGGAGGAGGGCGTTGTGTAGGGCAGGGGCTGCAAGGGCAAAGGATGGCCTGAAGCATGTCCACCCTCTCTGCTCTGGTGGGGCGGGGAGAGGCGCCCTGCAGCCTGCCTGGTCTCTGCTCTGTAGGGCTTTAAAGATGTGATGGGAAAGGAGAAAGGAGTTCATTGTTTTTATAGAGATTGTAGCAGGACATACTAATCCTTGCAAAGAAAACACGGGGCACTTATCTAATCTCCCAAATGTTGCTTGAGCTCAGAGCTGCATTTGGACAGAGGGGGAGAGGCCGCTTGGTATGCTCAAAACTGGTTTTAGCTGAAATTTGCCGGCAACTACAGACAAACCCCAGAAACAAATAGTTATTAGAGATACGTTGTAAATAAAGGACAGGGGGAAATATATTCATTTTAGGCGCCTCGGATAGATAGTGACGGCCTGAGTACTCAGCCAATGAGGAAAAGGTGGAAGGCAACCTTGCGACGGTGACAGGGAATACAAAGGAAGTTATTGATGGTTCAGGGAGTGTCCACTCTACCTGCCTCTACGTGAAACCCCCTCTTTAGAAGGCCCTGGCCCCTCAACACTCGGCACTGAGAGAGGAGCTGGTGGATTTTGAGGGTTTCAGGCGACGGGGGAAGCCGCAGAATCCATATGACCTTCAGGTTGCATGCAGGAGAAGCTGGTCCTTACCAAGCAGCAGGTTGGTGAGGAGGAAGGCACCCGAGACATTGGTGGCAAACGTGAGCTCCAGGCCCTCAGTCGTGACGGCAAATGGCAGGCCTAGACAGGAGAGAGGAGGGAGGGCAGCTCAGGAGGGGGCAGACTTCGGGATTGGGTCTCTGCCCTCCACCTGTCTTGGGGAAGGGTCTGCCTCTTTCTTAGCCCTGGGCCCTTGGCGTGGAACTGCAGCTTCCGGGTCTCTTCCCTGCTCGCTTCTGACCCAGGCAAGCAGAGGGCATAGCTGCCCAGTGCCCATTACCTGTGACGCCCGCATTGTTCACCAGGATGTGCAGCTGGCTCCCTTCCTCCAGAAACCTCCTGGCAAAGTCACGGACGGAGGCCATGGAACTGACGTCCAGCAGACGGAGCTGCACGTGGGGGTTCCCCGTGGCTCTGCGGATCTCCTCCACCGCAGCCTGGCCTTTCTTGCTGCAGCGGCAGGCCAGGATGGTGCGTGCGTTCTTGCGTGCCAGGTCAAGAGCGACGGCCTTGCCAATTCCTGCAAAGGATCAAGAGCAGCTGCCCCAGGACCCCAGGGTGGCACCTGCCCACCCCCACCCACCCGTAGGCTATTGATCCCGAGGTGGCCAGAAAGGCCGCTGGACTCTTGCACTGTGAGGAGGCTGAGCTGCGTCTTGTGCACTTGGGAGAATTGCAATGCCAACTTTGTCACCGCCACAGCCCTGGCACACCGAGCTGGTCCAAAGCAGATGGCACAAATGGCTTGGGCGCCGTCTAACAGCAGTGCTCCCTTGCCAGCCCTATGCAACCAGATGGAGGTAAAATTGCAGGTGACAGTTGCGGCAGGGCCACCCCTCACCGTGGCCAAAAGGGAGGGCAGGAAACATGGCAGGCCTAGTCCTGTGAAGGGAAAAGGCCTCTCGCGGTGGGAGGGGAGGTGAAAGGGGAGTGCGGGTGCCTGGGGGCTGAAGGACTCCCCCCACAGCAATGGCCGGTGGGCACCTGAGTCTGAGCCCTGAAGGGGGAGGAGGGCGTTCAGGGTGCTCAGTTGAATGCCCTCCAGGAGAACCCTGCATCAGCCAGGCCTGCCCTCCCCAGGGCTCCCTGCTCTTCCGCAGGCAGAGGCTGCCACGTGGCTGCCCTTATCTCCTTGTGGCCAGGGAGGCTGCAAGCAGAGATGGCCCGGTGGACTTCCCATCTTCCTCCGAGAGAGAGAAAGACCATCAGCTGCTCATAACGGGCCAAGGGCTGGCCTCGGTGGGTGGCCTTCTGCCAAAGGAAAACCCTTCTCTGTGGGAGAGAAACAGGCTGGTGCCCCCCTCCCCAAAGCCTGCAGGCCTCCATAACCTATAATCAAATTATAACAATGCCTTGAAACGGGAGCCTTATTAAATATCAGAGAGCAATAATGCCTAGTTAATTGTAGTTGTGGGATCATGAAATGAGCCTTCTCCCAATCCCCTTTATTCGTCCTTGGGGTGCAACTCCTGGCACACCACCCCTAAGGGGGGCAGTGGTCTGAAAGGAAGGGGCCATTCCCTGAGGGAGGAAAAGGTGACTTTCCTGCTCCAGTCTTCTCCCCCCCCAGGTGCCCTTTGCCCTTTAGCGGGCAGCAGGAAGACGAGGCCCGGCCCCTCCCTCCCCCTGTCTATTTGGAAAGGATGATTGACATTTCCTCTACCATCCCACTAGATGAGGGTCCCCTCCTGCCCTCAGACAGACATGGAACAATTGGAGAGGGGGACGCAGGTCAGTGGCGGCCATTCTTTAGCAGCCTGGCCGACTGAACAGGCCGGCCTCTTAAACGCCCACATTAAGACTGTTGCCCCCAGGAATATTTGGGGCTGCTGGCCCTTCTTCTTCTTTTGGACAGTGGTTCTGTCAGGAGGCCAACGAGCCTCCTTCCTTGCAGACCCGGCAGCCGCCTGCGGGCAAAATGTCCAGAAACATCAAACCAGTCTATTCCTTTCCTGGGTTTCTTTAGGAATGCTCACCATGCAAAAGGCCAGAAACCCAAACTAACCAGGACTCCGCTAAGGTTTGAGCTGATGTGGCTAAGAGGCCAGACTCACCACTGCTGGCTCCAGTGACAATGGCCGTCTTGCCACTCAGGTCTACAGGACAAGCATCCGGACTCCAGCTCTTTCTTCTTCGTATCCACAGCAGCGCCAGGAGGGCCAAGGAGCAGATGAACCAGAGCGGGTGGCAGAAGAGAGCGGCCCCCTCCATCGCAGGCAGTCTTTCCAGGAGCAGCTCTGGGCAACGCGTGGCGGCCCAGAGGTCCGATCTAAAGGAAGGCCTATTGAGCTCGGAAAGAGGAAGGCTCCCAAGGGGACAGCCGGTGTTATCTGGGCAGAGTCCACTTTCCACAAACGGTCTGCCCATTTCTTGGACAGAAGCCAGGCAGCAGAACTTTGGGAAGGCCAACGGGAGGGAGGGAGGGACGGACGGGGCAGCAGGGGTCAGCTGAGGGGAGGAGGCCTCCCAAGGAAGTAAGGTGCCTTGCGTGGCATTTCTCCGTTTGGCCAGGCGGAGGGGGAGACCAGCTCTGCAGCGCTCCCACGGGTGGGAGAATTTTATTAACAGCCCNGAAATATACGGCACTGGCTGATGAGCAGGCAGCCCTTAAGAGCCCACATTTGACCATAGACAATGTCTTCATTTTACAACATCTATTTGAAAAGTAAAGCTGGGTCAGCGCTGTATGTTGCTTTTATTGATTTTAGAGTTGCATTTGATTTTATTTCTAGAGCTAGGATGTGTGCAACTTGGGAGAAAAAACACTGTAGATACATACTGGCTCTACTAATGTGCAAACTTTATGAAAATTCTCCATTAGAAGTTTAACGCAATATACTAATAAATCCCTATCAGCAGTGGGGTGAGGCCTCCCCTCCGTGTCTTAATTATCTTGGGTGAAATAACCTTATACAGCCATCCTCTAGTAAAACACCCTGAGATACCACAGCACAGGGGTGTTGAAGTACTCTTATCACACCCACCCCCTCATTTAAAACAAACTGGGTGTGGTCTGTTTTTTGCTTGTTTGGCTAATTTAGAATTTGCAGCTCAGGCACTGAAGCAGGGGACATTACAGGAGCTGGGACGGCACCTCCTGTAATTAATAAAATGCTCCCAATTAGTTACTAAGAGCTGGGGGGGGGGGCGCTTCCCCATAGCAGCCTCCAGAATGCCACTCACAAAGGGGTTGTCCTTTCCTTGATGGCCCCCTGACCCTCCACACCCAGAGTGGCTGAGGCTGCATGAGGGCGAGGCTGAAGGGTCTGGCAGGTATTGGGCACCTGCGGGCAGAAAGTTTGTTATCTCACAACTTGCAAGTTAAATAGGCAGAGCTGCCTTCTCCGAGAGCTTCTCTTTAAAATGTAGTTTGATTGCAGGACATGGAGAAGAAGAGAAGCTCCTCTAAACTCTTGGTATTTTCCAAGCGCTCCAGAGCCTAAAAACAGCTGATTGAACAAGTGTTAAATATTTGGGGAGAGCGCTTCATTCCTCTGGGAAGCGTGGGGGATTTCTTGGGATTACACTCTTTTGTTAAAAATGCCACACAATTGTCTGAAATCCTTTTATTGCCCTGGAGGGGCATCATTTGTACTCAAAAAGTATTTTCGGCAAAGGTTTGTGCATAGCTTTTACTTGGAGCCAGTGTAAGCCAGAGAGAGAGGGGGGGAGGAGGGAGGGAGGGAGAGACAGAGAGAGACAGAGAGAAGAGAGAGAGAGAGATTTCAGGACAGTGTGAGGCTAGGATGTATGTGGTGAACACCATGACCCTCATCCCAGCACAGGCCTAGGGCACAAGTGCGGCAGAAGCTGTGGCTCCTGAAGGAAGGGCCCTTTGGCCCTGCTGGGGAAGGGCCCGCCCGCCTCCTTGGCATCTTCTGCAGGCTGCAAGCGTGCACTCAGACAGCCACTGCCGCCACGGTGGAGGCTGACCCCCGGGGCGAGGTCAACCGTCTCCACCAGCAAGGTGGGGTTGACGAACATATAGCTGGTGGGCTGGAGGGTCTTTCCCGGTGGAAGAGAAGAATAGGCTTCCTGCTCTGGGTGGGCCTTCTGTCTTGCCTTCATGGGATCCTCCGTCCCCGCCTGAGCCCGGAGGCTGCTTTGGTCCATGGGGGCCTGCTTGACGGGGCCGCTCGGGGGACGGCGCTGCTTGCAGCGGCCTGAGACCAACTTCAGGGTTTCCTGGCACTTCGACTCAACGTTGGGGTCCACCACTTCCACGGTGGGCTTGATCCACCGCTTAGGCAGGCGGGCCAGCTCCAGGTGAGGCACCAGCATGACGTTGCCCATCTCGTCGTAGAAAACATCCTTGATGTTGGGTGGGCGGCCCATCTGGATGCGGAGGAGGTTGCTGCAGGAGGAGGGGAGCAGGGGCTGGGAGCTGCCCAGCAGGGAGCTCACCTGCGGAGGGGGCTGGGGCAGCTTCCGCCACAGCAGCTCCTTCTCAGAGACGCTCTTTGCGCTGCCATCCAATCTGGCCGAGGGCTGGGCCACCGGGAGCGGCGGGCAGGACGGCCTTCTTCTGAAGGAGACCCTGGCAGAGACAGCCACGGGAAGGGACTCAGCTCGGCCCTTGGGCAGCCCCCTCCTCCTCTGGGGCTTGGGCAGTTTGGCTTCCAGCAGGGAGGGTTGCTGGGGCAGCTCCTCTCCCCACTGGAGGGGCATCTCATCCTGGGCAGTTTCCTCGCCTGGCAGCTCCCCTGGGACAGGGCCTTCCCCCTCCGGCTCCAGGAGGGCAGGCGCTTCCTCCTCCTCCTCCGGCACTTTGACGGCAGGGACCTGCAGGAGGAGGAAAGGGAGAAGCAGGGGAGGCCTGGGTGACCCAGCCTGGGTGCCCCTGGGCTTCCATGCCGCTCCAGCCTCAGAAGGAGGGCAGGAAGAGGGCAGCGGCCTTGCTCAGCCTGGAAGACTCTCCCTTCAAGGGGGAAGCAGGGAGCTCTGGTTGCCTGCCGGAGCCTCCCTCCTCCTGGGCTTCCTGGCGATTCCTGAATGGGGGCTGGGGCCACCGAGGGGCCTGAGAGCTTTCGCTCAGCAGCGCCGGCGGCTCCCGTCCCGCAGCAGTCCGGCGCTCCCGCTTCCCTTCGCTGCCGCCGCGGCAGAACCGGGGAATCCGCCCGACCCGAAGCTCCCCAGTCTGGCCGGGCCGTCCCGCCGTCGGAGCGCCCTGCGCTGGGACCCACCCCACTTCGGAGCGGCTCTAGCCGTCGGCGCCGCGCCCTACCTCCCACTCCGGGCTGGGCACGGTCTGCAGCAGCGGCACGGAGCCCTGGGCCCAGGAGTCCGGCACGGAGGCGGCCGGCTCCTCGTCCTCCTGCCAGGCCGGGTCCGCAGCCACCTCGCGCTCGCCCGCGTCCCGCACCAGGAAGCGCCACTCCACGATCTGCAGCATCGCCTCCCGCGCCTGCGCGATCACGTAGGGCACGCACTGCGGGGGGAGGGGNTTCCCCAGCCAGCGAATGCTGGCTGGGGAATTCTGGGAGTTGAAGTCCAGACATCTTCAAGTGGCCAAGGTTGAGAAACACTGCTCTATAGCAATGATTGATTATTCCTTTCAGGAGGGGATCAATCTACAGGGGGGGGGGGGTTGAACTCAAGGTCCTCCGGGAAATAGCAAACGGCCGGCCTGTGGTGCTTCTGCCTGCAGGGGCCCCGCAGCCTGCTTTTGGCCTGGGCGGCCTCCTGTAGCAGCCTGCTAGCCGAAACGGGCCTCGGGGGCTTCCAGAGGCCTCCCCCGGCCTGTTGCTGGCCAAAACGGAGCCTCTCAGCCTCATTCGCCATCATGGCTTCACCATATTTTTCTTTTGGAAGGGCTGCAGAAGAGGCCGAGCCACGTGGCAGAGAAGCAAAGTGTTTTAGTCGGAGGAAGCTCATAAAGCCGCGAGAGGAAAACGGAGGCTTCGGCCTCTTCTCCGCTGTGAGGGCCCCCAAGGCCCAGTTCGAACGAGCGACTTCGGGGGTTGGGACGTGGCGGCCAATCAACAAGGAGCTTGCAGTTCATCCTGATGAGACAAAGGAAGCAACCTCCTCCTTGATTGGCTGCTGCCGCCATCGCCGCCTCAATCCCTGAAGCAGAAGGCTGCCGTGGCCCCAGCCGAAGTTTCAGTTTTCAGTTTAAAGTTTATTTATATGCCGCCCTTTTCCCTGGGAGGACTCAGGGCAGCTTACAACTCAAGTCTTTTCCTCAGGTTTCACGGTGTTTCAGCTTCGCCGCCATCTGAATAAATGACTTTTTATTCACCTCCTCCGTGGCCCTGATCTGGAGGAAGAAGCCCACTTGCCCACGATGCAAAGTCCTGGATCTTGTGGCTAAAGACTCTTTGCTAGCAGCGCAAAGGCTGATTTCAGCAGGCACCGCGACGGGGGCTGTCAGCCGTGAAACAGGGGGGCCCCTGAAAAACAGCCTTGGGAACTGAAGATGGTCAAAACAGATGGTCCCAAGGCTCTGAGGGAAGATAAACGACTTGCAGCTGGGAGGGAGGGGAGCTGGCCAAGGCCGAGAGCGCAGCCAGGGAATTTGTGGAGATTCCTATGTTTTTGCAACAGGATTACTTATTTATTTATTTAGTAAACAAACCTACGTGAGAAACTCTGGGCAGCAAACAATAAAAACCCAAAGCAACCACCGAGGAGGCTCCGTGGGGGAGGGAAGGGGGTGCCAGGGAAGCCTTGGGGTGCCCAATCGGTCATCGAGACTCTGTGGCTCCGGATTCCCAGGGACTAGAAAGCCACAGCGCAGCATTTGAGGGAGGAGGGAGCTGGACTGCCAGGTTCCCTCTACAAGGACAGGAGATAAAAACCTCCCAAACAGAAGAAGGTCAAGGCAGAGCAGCAGAGCCAGACCTGGGGGACGGGTGGGGGAAGTGGGGCAGGATGCCAGGCTCTCCCAAGGAAAGCCTTTTTTGGCTCTAGAGCAGAGTTTCTCAACCTTGGCCGCTTGAAGATGTCCGGACTTCAACTCCCAGAATTCCCCAGCCAGCGAATGCTGGCTGGGGAATTCTGGGAGTTGAAGTCCGGACATCTTCAAGCGGCCAAGGTTGAGAAACACTGCTCTATAGCAATGATTGATTATTCCTTTCAGGAGGGGATCAATCTACAGGGGGGGGGGGGGTTGAACTCAAGGTCCTCCGGGAAATAGCAAACGGCCGGCCTGTGGTGCTTCTGCCTGCAGGGGCCCCGCAGCCTGCTTTTGGCCTGGGCGGCCTCCTGTAGCAGCCTGCTAGCCGAAACGGGCCTCGGGGGCTTCCAGAGGCCTCCCCCGGCCTGTTGCTGGCCAAAACGGAGCCTCTCCGCCTCATTCGCCATCATGGCTTCACCATATTTTTCTTTTGGAAGGGCTGCAGAAGAGGCCGAGCCACGTGGCAGAGAAGCAAAGTGTTTTAGTCGGAGGAAGCTCATAAAGCCGCGAGAGGAAAACGGAGGCTTCGGCCTCTTCTCCGCTGTGAGGGCCCGCAAGGCCCAGTTCGAACGAGCGACTTCGGGGGTTGGGACGTGGCGGCCAATCAACAAGGAGCTTGCAGTTCATCCTGATGAGACAAAGGAAGCAACCTCCTCCTTGATTGGCTGCTGCCGCCATCGCCGCCTCAATCCCTGAAGCAGAAGGCTGCCGTGGCCCCAGCCGAAGTTTCAGTTTTCAGTTTAAAGTTTATTTATATGCCGCCCTTTTCCCTGGGAGGACTCAGGGCAGCTTACAACTCAAGTCTTTTCCTCAGGTTTCACGGTGTTTCAGCTTCGCCGCCATCTGAATAAATGACTTTTTATTCACCTCCTCCGTGGCCCTGATCTGGAGGAAGAAGCCCACTTGCCCACGATGCAAAGTCCTGGATCTTGTGGCTAAAGACTCTTTGCTAGCAGCGCAAAGGCTGATTTCAGCAGGCACCGCGACGGGGGCTGTCAGCCGTGAAACAGGGGGGCCCCTGAAAAACAGCCTTGGGAACTGAAGATGGTCAAAACAGATGGTCCCAAGGCTCTGAGGGAAGATAAACGACTTGCAGCTGGGAGGGAGGGGAGCTGGCCAAGGCCGAGAGCGCAGCCAGGGAATTTGTGGAGATTCCTATGTTTTTGCAACAGGATTACTTATTTATTTATTTAGTAAACAAACCTACGTGAGAAACTCTGGGCAGCAAACAATAAAAACCCAAAGCAACCACCGAGGAGGCTCCGTGGGGGAGGGAAGGGGGTGCCAGGGAAGCCTTGGGGTGCCCAATCGGTCATCGAGACTCTGTGGCTCCGGATTCCCAGGGACTAGAAAGCCACAGCGCAGCATTTGAGGGAGGAGGGAGCTGGACTGCCAGGTTCCCTCTACAAGGACAGGAGATAAAAACCTCCCAAACAGAAGAAGGTCAAGGCAGAGCAGCAGAGCCAGACCTGGGGGACGGGTGGGGGAAGTGGGGCAGGATGCCAGGCTCTCCCAAGGAAAGCCTTTTTTGGCTCTAGAGCAGAGTTTCTCAACCTTGGCCGCTTGAAGATGTCCGGACTTCAACTCCCAGAATTCCCCAGCCAGCGAATGCTGGCTGGGGAATTCTGGGAGTTGAAGTCCGGACATCTTCAAGCGGCCAAGGTTGAGAAACACCGCTCTATAGCAATGATTGATTGTTGTAATATAGTTCCTTGTGTAGGTGTGTATCCCCCATGGCCCAATTCATACCAGGGCTTGCAGAGTCACGCTGAATCACACAGGAGAAAACAAACTCCTAGAACGCCAAAACATCTTGATAGTGCATAACATAACATCCTGATATGTGCCCTACCATTGACGTCCAGGATTTGACCATATATAGACAGAACTTCCCTGAGCAGTAGATTAGAAATTGTACTTTTACAGGCTGTTTTTACTCACATGCTATTGCTCCTCCTGCCTTTGTCCTATCTCAATAAAAGGGGCTCTCAGACCCCCAATCTGGGTCGCTCCATCCCGAGAAAGATCGTGTCCTGTCTTTTCTCCACATTGGCCTCATGGACGAACCGCGGGAACATCGCAAGTGTACATTACAGTTATAAAAATAAAAACACAAACATACATCATTCACATTCAATACAATTAAAACCCGATATTGCACTATACCATACAATTCAATATGGTTATTGCCCTGGGATAGAAGCCATTTTTCAGCCTGTTTGTCCTTGTTTTTATTATCCTGTACTGTCTGCCAGATGGTAATAGTTCAAAAAAAAAAAAGGGTGCCCAGGGTGAGATGGATCTTTAAGAACGTTTTGAACTCTCTCCCTCTCTCTCTCTCCCCCTCCATATATACATACATACATACATACGTACATATTCAATCCGCTGGTCTTGTTGTATTCGGGTCTTGAGATTGTCTTGGCAACGTTTCAGCGAGGTTTCACTCGCCATCTGCAGGCTGGGTTTTGGGCCCAATAACCTGGTTAAGTAAACCTGGCTTCCCCTGGACTCTGCTTGTCAGGTCACAAAAGGGATCACGTGACCCCGGGATACTGCAACCATTATAAATATGAGCCAGTTGACAAGCGTCTGAATTTTGATCATGTGATGCTGCAACAGTCGTAAGTGTGAAAAATAGTTGTAAGTCACTTTTTTCAGTGCTGTTTTAACTGCTGAGTAAATTTCTAGAAGGGAGGATTCCACGGAATGGCCCTTCGCCAATTGAGATTTAGCCAAATCTCAACTAACGAATGCTCCGTCTTACACATTGGCAACAAAAATCATCAGAACACCAAATAAAAGCTGGGCAGATACAACCTCGTAGACAATCCCAACCTCGTAGACAATCCCCACTGTCGTAGGAGTACCTATCTCAAACGATCTGAGCCCCAGAGCTCATTGTAACAGCATCGCCAAAACGGCATTAACAGTTATTAACCTAATTTTGCGAAGCTTCATCTCTGGTAACATTGTACTACAAACTAGGGCAGAAATAGTCAACCTTTTTATACCTACCGCCCACTTTTGTATCTCTGTTAGTAGTAAAATCTTCTAACCGCCCAGCGGTTCCACAGTAATGGCGATTTATAAAGTAGGGAAGTCAATTAAATTAAAAAAAGGAAAGTGTGAAGTAACCATCCTCTGCTACCAAATGTGACGTTCCCGTGGGTCGTCCATGAGGCCAATGTTGAGAAAAGACAGGACACGAACTTTCTCGAGATGGAGTGACGACCCAGATTGGGGGTC